TGTTTAAAGCGTAAATATGCTATCTCTGAAATGCAAAATGAGTGACTAAAAATGATGGCAATTAAATGGTAATTAAAAATATTTAATAAAATTTTTACTTTATGTAACGTATTCCGTTATCTTTGTTCAGAACATTAAAAATTTTGCAAACAGTAACCAATAATATTGTTTGTCTGCTGTAGATATTATTACAATCTTTCTAAAATTTTGTCCATCAACACTTGAGAGAATAAAAACATTCAAAATTAGTATCAACATTTAAACTGAATAATTAAGACACAATAACATATTGTTGTTTGACTTCTGAATTAGTATTTAAACTGAATTCAATGTTTCATTCACTAGTTTTCTGCGCGACTTTTTCGACCCCCTTTCCTCTTCTGGAACATAATTAAGATCCATTTTCTACAGAATGTTCCCCGCAGAAACATCCTTTAAACTAGGTCGATATTAATCTCACGCTAATTACATTCAATTATCTGTTTTGCTTCCTATCGGTTTCTGATGGCAAAACAATTGAACTTGACATTTCTTCGATCTCTTATTAAATCAGAAAACTTCCTTCATTGAATTGTAAATTTATTGTAAACCAAGCTAAATCATTATATATAGTATCATATATAATGCTGTCAAGCATAGAATCTACATACGCGAATACAGTTCATTCGTCAGACGCAAGAATCTTTAAAATTTTTTTATTGTTAAGTCTTTCTCCCTTTCAAAAGAATCTTTGACCTTTAATCGATTCTTTATTATTTTGATCGATAAAATTCTTCATAAATCATCAATAAATTAATTAAAATATATAAATGCAATCGTATATTGTGGTTAAGTAAACAAACTAATTTTGCGCCTGATATTGTTAACAGAAAAGAGATGATTTAAATTAATTATATTGAAGGCTTAAATTAATAACTCTGAAGAAAAATATAACTTTTTGGTTGAGAATGATTACCTTTATTCTTAGCTAGTTTCTCAATTTTCAGTTGTTCCCGTTCTTTTTCGGAGGAATTCAGAAGGTGAAAATGACAGGGCGTTTTATCAATGTAAAATTTGTTTTAACAAAACAAAATTACTTGTGCGATAAATCGCCTTGTACCTGCCTTGAAATTTGTAATTATGAATTATTAAGTTCTGCCTTAACTTCTACTTTCCGTTTCCTCACCAGAAATGTAAATGAGTTAGACAGTTATTTAAGCTGAGGTTTTTTGAATAATAGGATTTCTGCCTCTCGAGGCCACGTTACTTGGTTTTGCCAGTTCTGATAAGATTGTAATTATACGGCTTTGTATTATATCTGCAGTCACTTGAATCGTTACTCCATTGAGAAGTTCTGAGCCAACTTAGATTTAAAGTTAATCCTGTAGTCTTTGATTACTAGTCTACATTTTAAATTTCAAATTTAACTTTTACTTTTAGTTGCATAGCGACGAGTGTGGTAGCTGATCCTGTGTGTTAAATAAGTAGGTTCGTTTTAAATCTTTTCAAGGCTTTCAGTTCATTTCAGATACAGCGATAATACATATACTCAATAGCTATATATTTTTAGTAAAATATGTGATTGATAAAATTCAAAAAGTTCTTAACTGAATATTTTGGATATTTCGAGGATTGTTAGACTTAAATATAGATGTTTTTCTTCTTAACAGATTCGTTTGATTTTTCTGTCCTTTTAAAATTAAATTGTTTTCGTTTTTAATTACCTCGAAAGAAAACTAGTTTATTTATTTTCGACATTACATAACTGTGTTGCTCTGTATACTGCATTAATAATTTAAAATCATTTTCTGCATTAATTATCTGCACTAATCATTTTACTTTAATCTCTTAACAATATTTTAGATATGCTACGCATGTCATTGAAAAAATTAGGTTTTTAACATCCAACAATCCACGGAATGAAAATATTTGTAACTGGATTTCTTGGTCATGGCATTATCTACGTCAATAATCTAATTGTGAAATTTTATAATAATACATTTTATATTCAGGAAAATACAGAAATAGAATTTTTAGACTGAAATTCGCCTTTGAGTTGACATTTTATTGTTTCAATAATAAAGATTAAATGTGATGAGGTGGCGACAGAAGATGCTATTTTACTTAAGGAAAGGGTCAAACGAAATATTTATATGAATTCCATGGCCCCCTTTTTAAATATTCCATATACTTTTAGTTTTCTAAATGCTTTCACAATAAATTTTACTGCGAGCTGTCAAATTGCAAACTGAAGCTTTCAGATTGAAAGGTTTTTTTATTTAATTATTTACTTCTTCACTAGCTCATATCGGGTTCCGAAGGAGGGGAAAATCTATTACCAGTCTACACTGCAAAAATCTTATCCATTTATCCAGATAAGCAAAATATTCTACCTTTTAAATATAATTTTCCCATTGTAATTTTAAAACTGTTTTAAACTGTAATTAACTTCACTTTTAAGGTAAATTTATTTAGTAAAAGTTACTTATTAAAATAATAATAATAATAATAATAATAAAATAAATAAATTTAAAAAAAAAAAAAAACTGAAAGATTTCAGGTTTTAACGGCTGCCCAAACGGGTTTGTTAAGGTTCTTTTACACTCTAGCTGAGCTCTGAGCGTCGTAGCCTACTAGAATTGAGTACTATTGCACTTACTTCTGATAACCCGTTTTGTTTTGTCGTTTTAGCCTTATTATTAAGCATCGTTTTCTTTGCACTTATGCCATATACAGCAAAATCACAAAAATTTTAAAAGCGGCATAGCAGCATATTTTCAGAATTCCCGATGCTGTGTTAAGAGTTCGTATACTTTTTTTAAAGTGTTTTCTCAGTTTATCATTTCAGCGTTAAGTTTTCTAAGAAAGAAGGTTTACAAAACTCTTTAGCCCAAAGGTGCAGTAGCCCAGAAGGGCTATTAGTTTCAAAATGGCATTTCGCGTTGTTCCAATATAAATGTTCGTTTCAATTGTTACCACCAAATATTATCGTTCTGTATATTTAAAGAAATTAAATAATGAAGAATCTGCATGAATGTATGTATGTTTCCGGCATTGCGAAAGAACGGCGGTACCTAGAGCCATTAAATTCTGAATAACGTAAGCCTCCTCCCAAACATGGGCAGCTAGACACCCGAATTTCGAATTTACTTTATTACCTATTTCATATTTTGTAAAATTTTAACGAATTTTTGATAAAAAAAAATCAACGATTTCAAAGCGAGCGGTGACAACGCTGTACTGAAAATAATATTTTTACCTTCAGCGCTCGAGACTGTCTATCGGAAATTCTAAAGATGTTCTGCTTTTAAATATATCTTGCAATACTGCTGTTGAATTGAATTTTATGTGGCTTAAGTGCGAAGAACATGATATTTAATAAATAAACGTAACACTCCAAACGTTAAAAAAAAAAATTCCTTTAGGCGTAATACGAAATTTGAAAGCTTTCAGATTTTATTTATTTATTTTGTCTTTTTATTATTAATGTTTTGCTTGTTAACTTTATTTATTAAACGCATTTGCGCCATATAAATTCAATTCAACAGTAAAACTTCAAAATACTTAAAAAACTGCGTACCTTTAGAATTTTCGATATATATTCTAAATGTGCTAAATGTGTTTTTTCCTTATTTTACTGCTCGCTTTCAAATCGTTGAGTTTGTTAATCAAAAATTTGTGAGAGTTCCTTCAAAATATGAAATGAATAAAAAGATATATCGTTATTCTATGAAAATATTAAATATTTTTAATTAGATAGATCACGAATTACATTAATTTTTATTGTTTAAATCAATCGGATTTAAAGGTAAGAAGCGAATATTCTTATATATATTATTCTGTATTAATTGCTTTCAAATAGCTTAGTTTGTTAATCCACAACGGACAGATTCACTTTGAAAGATAAATATCTCACATTTTGTCGAATGGCAAAGGATTCGAGTGAAAAGGGAAACGACACATTTGTAGTGATTCGACGCACCATCTCCTTTTGAGGCTAGGAAGAAAACCATTGCCTTCTGGTTTCTCCGTTTTGTTTCATTTATTTAACAGTGAGAGTCTGGGATCTTATTTGTCAAAATGTGGCAAAATTTCAGATGGAAATTGTTTGAAAGTAATATATATTAAAATTAAATTTAGAATTAGATTGCGAATAAGGAATTTTCTCAGTTTCCTAAATAATATTTTTTTCTATACGCAGCAAACTTTCGGTAATGAAACCTTAACAAAATTATTAACCAATCAGCTTTTAGGTAATATTTTTATCCCGTTCTCCAATACCCCCCCCGCATGGGCCAAAATTTTTATATAAACAATCTATAGTAAATAGTAAAATTTAACAAACAAGCCAATTAATACTTATTTATGCAACTGAAAGAATTCAGGAAATCTTTCTGGATAACCTAAAAAATGCAAGATAAAAAAGTGTATGATTGTAAGAAATTATTTCTCCAACAAAAAAAATAATGTATATGCATGTGTTATTGGCAATGTGTTATTGGCTTAATTAATGGCCATGACGAATTAAAAAAAAATAAGTAATTCGTACTGGTAAATTACATTATTGCTTATTCAATAATACACAAAGTTTGCTATATTTAGATATGCTATATGAATTATGCAACGATTTTTTGAGTAATATTTTATTAAATTTTTTCTTTTTTTTTTCTTTTTTTTTTTTTCGGGCATCAGGATCGGTTTTAAATTTTGTTGATAATAAATCAGAATGTAAAATGTATATGAATTTCGACACATAAGGCATTATGCAGTGCTCCTTACTAAAAATTCAGTAAGTGAAGCATTTTATAATCTTTTTATTTATCTAATACGTAATAGAAATAATACCAAAATTAAAAGGGCATTCTGCATGAGTAAACTCCTACTTGATGAATCAACGGGAAATGTATGATGACTCAGAAGTTCTCCAATAGATGGCGCTACGAGCGACCTTTAGAAGCATCTCGTCCAACAGAGAGGAAGAAAGAAAAATAAAAGAAAAGCCGCTTCTTTTCTAACAAAAACGCTTCAGCGCTCGACCAACCGAGTTATAAAACCCGCTCTACAAAAGCGCTCGCGGGCACAGCGCGCTAGTAACAGTTTAGCGGATTGGTCAGCGAACACTCTCAGTGGTTAACACGGACCACCCCTCTACTTATTAAAAAGCTATCGGAACTAGAAAAAGGATATTCAGTGGATGGACCGGCAAAACTTTTAGCACAATTTAAGCAAAATTCCTTTTGTGTGAAGAGAGAAATAAATTAAATGTTTGGAAATTAACAGAGGAAAAAAAAAAAAAAAAAGAAAGAAAAAAGAAAAGAAAGAAAAACTGTTTTCTCCCCCTTCCCAGAAATTGCTTCTTTTCCTTCCCCCTGTCTTTTATTTCCCTCCTGTTTTCGATATTGTCCGTGGTTTTTGCCACGAGCCGCGAGCGTGCCAAATAGATTTTGTATTTATTTATTTATTTGTTTACTTGTTCGCGCTGAACTGGCGACGTGTTGTTCTGCTGCGGTTATTGCGCTGTGAGCGCTTCGGTTTCTGTGCGCGAGATGACAAAGTTGGCGATTTTTGTTTTATTGACTTTGACGACTCTATCTGGGACATACGGCAGCGGTTTGAATGGAGGTAAGTCATACGCTTTTTATATAAAACTAATTGAATATATATTTTTTTAACTTTTCAGAGGCAACAAAAAATATTTTATTACTTCTATACCCTTTTTCTACTAATTATTTAAGTTGCCAACAAACTGCGCTCATGATTTTTCAGATTTATGCCCTTTTTGTGTGTGTTAATTGTATTCTTCGGTTTTTCAATTTGCCGTCAGCATCGATAACTTTAGTCTTTAGCCATTAAATACAGATGTATTTAATGATGAAATTTAAACCCAGTTATTAAATACTGTCATTAATATATGTATTTTCTCACTTTTGCGTTTTTCATGATGCTGAATTTTTTTTAATGACAAGATATTTTGAACATTTTGATATCAAACTGTGATTTATAGTTCGAAGTGTGTAACGCGTATTCTAAACTAGGGAGATAAGCTTGTAAGATAGATAATTTCCTGTCAAAAGTTTCAAAGGTGGTGGTGGGAGGAAGGCGAGGTGTCTAAAAACACCTTGAATAATGAGAATTTTGGAAGATATTTTCTTTCAGATTTCAGTTAATACCGTTTTCGTTATTGCCTTCCAATACCGTAATTAAAAGCATATTGCTTTTTTAAATAATTTAAGATAGAAAATTTTAAATGTATCAACTATTTTCCCCCTTCGATAATTTATTTCTTTGTTTCTTGTATGTTATGTTCTCGGTCCGTATCAGAGCAGTGATATTAATTGAAATGCGTTTCATATCTCGAGTCATATTTTCACTTCAGAATTCGTTGGCGCGGATAGAGTATTCATTCGGTAGCAGTGAATAAATATATTATTTCTGCAGTTGAAAATACAGGTATACGCAATAAAAGGCTTTAGAAAAATCTTTTATGAATTACAGTCATACTGAAAAAGTTCATAATTATCAACTGGATATATGTACTTTAAATTACACAGTTAAATATATATCGAAAATAAAATAAATATTTAGGGGGTAAGAGGTGGGTTCATTGCTTTCTAAAATGCTCTCTAAGCTGTTATAATTAGAAAGATAAATTAAATACCTTATATCTTGTTCAATAGCAGGTCGTGGCACCGTGTTTGGTAAAGTAATGTAACTTAGTAGATCGACAATTTGGGAAGGTTTTCCAAACACATTTATAATGTTAAAACTGTTGAAGAATTTAGTACAGTTTAAGATAGCAGTATGGATGAAAAAAGAAAACTTTCTCAGAATCATGTGAATCGTTTTCCTGCTATGTCCAGGAATGTGTAAAACGTATAATGCTGGACATACCAAACGCATTTCTGATATCTCTGGAAGAAAGTCTATCTAATTTGTTTTCGAACACCTGAAAAATAAATGCTGTCTAACCTCTAATTAAAAATGGTTACTTTCAGGAAAAACTTGCAAATTTAAGCCAGTAAAAGTTTTAAGCCAGTAAAAGCGGTCTGCAAAGTAAAAATGCATTACAGTATGAAAAATCTTATGGTTCCTGAGTTTGGCAAAGCTCATTTATTTAAATTGGACGGATTTAGATTTTCCGTGAGATGACTGTCTCTTAGAATATCTTCAGGTTTTAATATAAAATAATCAGTATTAGTAGAATAATAAAATACATTTTAAATATGACAACGATTATCCCTCTGCTTCCAAACAATGTTCAATACTCATCTGAAGCAACGATTACTTAAGCATTAAATTTCAACAAATGTGCAAGATTGAAAAGCTGGCATGAGTTGCCATCCACAAAGAACAACGTATTCCTGTTTGGATCTAACGTACTTGCGAGGTCTCTTTCAAGTATGTCATCAACAAAAAGCGAGCCGCCCAGACGGTATAGTGATTAGTGACTCTGACTGCTGTAAAGGCCTGAGTTCGAATCCCGGAGAAGGCATAGATGTTTGTAAATGTATAGTGTCTTTGCGGCATAGGAACACACTAAATATATGGCGAGACAAAAGTTCTCTTTTGTGGCTTGGTGGTAGGGAAGAGGCTTGGGAGACCCTCTGATCCCCCCCGGGGTGTTCTTTTTCAAAACTGTAGTAGAAAGTAGAAGTTCAACCTCTTTGAGGCTGTGGCAACTATTCTTCCATGAAATATGAACTCGAAAATAACAACATGAACTGAAGACAAGTCTTCAAATAAATTAAACTTATAATTAGATCTTCACAGATCGCTGAATCAGGGTGTTGAGCCAAACTGTTCAAAATTCATTTTTACACACACAGTGTGGAAAGTGCGTCGTTGTAATCGGACTTTACTATAACATATTGGTATTTTACTATGAAATATGCTGCTCTGATCGGTGTAGCGGTTAACTGAGCTTGGGTTCGAATCCTGGAGACGTCTTAAATGTGTCTTTGCGAAAAGTCTTAGATGTGTCTTTACATAGTGTCTTTACGGAATGTGGAACTTAGAGTATATGCGAACTTTGCGGCATTTAAAATACACGACGAGCCGTAAGCCTTCTCGAAGGGCTTGGTGGTAGGCGAAGAGGGGTGGAAGACCATTGGATCCGTTCCCCCGGCTATTATCCTTCAAAACTGGGACGGAATTAGGGAAATCGTACTGTTACCTGTTAAGATGTCTCAGACCCATGCTAATTACAAACGCAATCCCGTGTTCTTTGCCATGGTAAAATCCGTGGACTAATCTGATGTGGCAAGTGAGTTTGGTTTAATTCATAATAACAGCTATCGAGTAAAAGTGAAATCTACACAAGTTTAACATGTGACATAATTTCAAATTGTACGAAGGCAGCGAATTATCTTAGTACACTGCTAAGAATGTATGATTTTGACTGCTATTTAATTGTCTTGAAATAACCAGAACACCTCTACAATGTTCATATTTAACCTTATCCCACATATTTAAGAAAACAGGAATATAAATTCCGAAAACAAAACAGATCTTTTAAACAACTATTGAAATTAGATAAATAAAGCTTAAACAAAAGTAATATAAAATCTAGGCGAATCTATGCCAAACGGAATAAATGTATTTTGAAAGGCTGAAATTTTTGTTGAGTCTGAAAAAAATGTTGAGTTATAAATGAAAATTTATAACTCAACATTATTATTATTATTATTATATTATTTTGTTTGACAGAAAAGTGAATATTCGTTCACTTTTATTCCCATTATTTTTGAATCTAATATCCAGCTTGCTACTTTTATTTTGACTTTATATTTCGTTATTTAATGTACAGAAATAGCCTAAAATATCTAAAAATTTCAATGTCAGATGTAAAAAACATTGATTTTTTACTTCCTTGTAAAGGGAGTATTGTAAGCGTAAAAAATGTCGGGTATCATATTTCAACGGAAATATTCTTTCTGACTGTTCCCGAATCCATTTGGCCGACATTTTTGCTTGACGTCTATACACGCACTGAAAAAAAGGACCTTTTTTTTTTTTTTTTTTTTTTTTTCCAAAACGGATTGTAAAATAGATTCAAGAAGCATTTTTTCTTGATGTCTGTATGTATACAAGTATGTATGTATGTATAATCTCTCATATCTCTCAAAACTTAAAAACGATTAGCAGTAGAACGGTGAAATTTTGTGCATGGAAGTGCTATAACATCTAGTTATGCATCTCCCTTATTTATTGCAATCTGAAATAACAAACGTATATATACTTATATACCTTGTAGGTTATTTTGAAGCAGGGGACCCGAAAAATGATCAATGCCCTCACCGGGACTTGAACCTGGACCTTTCGAATACGCTACCGTTACACCACGAAGGCATGTGGAAAACAGGGAGAAAATACCTTATATACCCCCTTTTAAAGGGCGATGGGAGATTAGGGGATCCTGCTGGTGACGAATTATCATCAATCACCTTTATTAGTTCGGGCGCCACTGTAGAGTCATTAGGGTTTTTTTGAAGCAGAAATCGTGAAAAATGTGCAGTGCCCTCACCGGAACTCGAATCTGAACCTCTGGAATACGCTCCGAGTGTGCTACCGTTGCACCACGAAGGCATACGGAAAGGAGGGAAAAAATACCTTATAACCTATAAAGAAAATACCCTGCTTAAATATCCTTACCTGGATTTTATTTTCGCAGTTGTAGTCATATATTTCCAATTATCTTTTCTAATGGCAAGGTATCTGTTTCCTAAAAGTCAAAAAGTGTGCTATATGACGAAAATATTCGCATTTTGGAAATGCCAAATTGAAAGAAAAATTTTTTTTTCTCGACAAATAAAATAACGAGCCCTAACTTTTAATGCGATCTCTGGGTTCCTGTGCTTATATTTGGGAAAGTTTTATACTAGTGATGGAAATATATATATATATATATATAACAAGTACGACTCCCCTATTTAACTTAAATATCCCGACTTTCGACTCCCGATATTTAACTTCAAAATTTGCAATTTTTGATGTCATTTTCAACTTGCCTTGAGGAATCGGTTAATTTACTTACAATAATACGAGGAAGTAAGTTTAAATGAAGTGCAGCAAGAAATGTATACAGTTTAATAGGCCGTACAAGGAAGTTATGTGGTGTCCATATCAGATTTTGGTACTCTAATCATTAGTTTCGTTTTGGCATTTACGTCGAACACTTTAAAAGTCTGAATCAGTTTTCAAATTGTTGCTACCAAATATTATAGCCCTGTATTATATTTAAAGAAATTGAATAATGAAGAAACTGCATAAATGTAAATAAACCTGCATAATTCTCACATTGTGATAAAAAACGGTACCTAGAACCATCAAATTTTGAATAACGTACGTCTCCACCCGAAAATGGGCAAGCATTTATAGTTTTTGATTAAGAAACTGAACGATTTCAAAGTGAGCAATGGCAACACTGTATGGGGAAAAAAAAAAAAAAAAAAAATCTCTCCAGCGCTAGACTGTGTAACGGAAATTCTAAAGATATGCTCATTTTAAAATTATTTCGCGATATTGCTGTTGAATTGAATTTTATGGTTTAAATGCTAAGAACATGATGTTTAATAAATAAAGGTAACACACAAAACGTTAATAAAACGCCCATTTGGACGTAA